AACCAGAGGAGTTTGGTAATAACCAGGATGGTTTGGGGATGGGCTCCGGGCGGCCGTGACCCTGCTCGAGTGCGGGGGGCACCTCCAGCCCCCTGGGGGATCCCTGCGCCTCCTCTGCCGAGGGTCCGGGTTCAGTTTCGGGGCTCACTCCATCACCTGGACCTGCCAGAGGCCCGGGCAGGTGCTGGAATGGCTAGCGCTGATCAACGCTAGCGGTGCCCACGCCTGGTACGCGCCATCGGTGCAGGGCCAGTTCAGGATCTCCAGGGACAACGGGCAGAGCTCGGTGACGCTGACCATGAACAACCTCAAGGACGGGGGTTCCGGATCCTATTTCTGCGGGAAAGCTGCTTATGATACTTGGGGTGCTGCTGCTGATTGTTTTGACCCCATCCCCGTGGCTGTGCCCCCCCCTCTCCCGGTTCCCCAGACCCTTCTCCCAAACTCTGCCCTCACTCCATTTCTGACCCCATCTCCCAACCCTGTCCTGGCTCTGCCCCAAATTCTCCACTCTCGACCACAAAGTTGACCGAAATCTTTACCCATGACCAGAATTATCCAATTTCAGAATCAAGTTTTGGGGCACAAAGAGGAGATTTGGGGTCAGGAGTTGTGGTTTGGGGTCAGCGGGTGAGAATTGGGGCGGAGGCAGAGCAAGGTTGGGATCAATGGCCAAAGGCTGGGTGTGGGCTGGGGGTTTGGGGGAAGGGTCTGGGCAACGGGGACAGGGGGGGACACGAGGAGATGGGGACAGCACGAGCACCGTCAATATAATCAGCAGGAGCAGAACCACCAACACCAGGAGGTTTGACACAGAAATAAACGGCGGAATCGTCGTCCTTGAGGTTGTTCATGGTCAGCGTCACTGAGCTCTGCCCGTTGTCCCTGGAGATCGTCACCCGGCCCTTGACCGATGGCGCGTACTCGGTGTGACCTCCACTGTCACTGATCCTTGCGACAAATTCCAGCCCCTGCCCGGGTCTCTGGTTCATCCAGCCCATCCCAAAACTCCCGAAATCGAACCCGCACCCTCGTCACAGCAATGTCAGTGGAGGTCCCCCCCGCACTCCAGCAGGGTCACGGCTGCCCAGAGCCCATCTCCAAATCTTCACCAATTTCACTCATAACTCCCCTGGTCTGGTCCCAAATCTCCACCAGATTTTTTGGTTATCCTGAGGTTCCTCAAAAGCTGGAATTAAACAATCTCACTAATTTATTGGACACCTTCTCCTCAGGGTTCCACATTGATTTCAAACGCAATACCACGTTAAGAACCCCAAAACCCCCCTGGGACCCAACCCCAGCACATCCCGGCCTTGGCCTTGAGCTCCCTCCGGCTCCAGTCCCTGCTGCTCCTGCTGCCCCTCCCAGGTGGGCGCTGCCCCTTTTTTCTGGAGCACGCACACCTTTTCCCCATCTAGACCAATCATATTTCTCATTTTTAATCATCTCCCCTTTGTCCTGCAGGGCTCTGGGCGGCCGTGACCCTGCTGGAGTACAGGGGGTACCTCCAGCCCCCCGAGAGGTCCCTGCGCCTCCTCTGCCGAGGGTCCGCGTTCAGTTTCGGGAATGTGAACAAGTACTGGATCCGCCAGAGACCTGGGCAGGGGCCGGAGTTCGTGGCAGAGATCAGCTACGATCTTTCCAGAACCCACTATGCACCATTGGGTAAGTGCCGGGTCACGATCTCCAGGGACAATGGGCAGAGCTCGCTGACGCTGACCATGAACAACCTCCAGGACGAGGATTCCGGATCCGGAAATTTCTCAATTTCCCTTTCCCCTCTCCGGCCCCAAACCCCAACCCTTGGCCGTTGATCATCCCCCAAACTCTGCCCCAAAGGTCAGCGCTGGGCCCGGGGCTGGGGACACGAATTCAGTCACCGAGAGCGGGGACGAGGGCTGGGATTTGGGGGGAGGGTCTTGGGTATGGGGACAATTAGGGACGCAACAAAGGGGATGGGGCTAAATGCTCCATAACCAGCACCAGCAGCATCACTACGATCAGCAACAACAGCATTACCACTCTCAGGAGTTTTGGCACGGAAATAGGAGGCGGAATCCTCGACCTTGAGGTTGTTCATGGTCAGCGTCAGCGAGCTCTGCCCATTGTCCCTGGAGATGCTGACTCGGCCCCTGAACGATGGCGAGTATCTTGTGTCTCCATCATAGTCAATCCCTGCAATGTATTCCAGGCCCTGCCCAGGCCGCTATCGGATCCACATCAGACTGGTTCGTCCAAAACTGAACCCGGACCCTCAGGAGAGGAGGGGCAGGGACCCCCCGGGGGTCTGGAGGTAACCCCCGAACTCCAGCAGGGTCACGGCCGCCCGGAGCCCTGCGGGACAAAAGGGTGATGATGGAAATTGAAAGTCTGATTGGTCTAGGGCTTTTAAGTGGGCGTGGCCATCTGGACAAAGGGGTAGAACACTGCTGGGAGGATGATGAACTCCAAGGATCCCAATTTGGGGCCCAGAGTCAGGATTTGGGTCAATGTTGAGCTTTGGCCTCATCCCCATCTCCCCTTTGTCCCGCAGGGCTCCGGGCGACCGTGACCCTGCTGGAATGCGGGGGGGACCTCCAGACACCCGGGGTGTCCCTGACGTTGCTTTGCCGAGGGTCCGGTTCGATTTTTGGAGTTATGGAATGTTCTGGATCCGCCAGAGACCCGGGCAGGGTTTGGAAATTCGTTGCAGGCATCTACAACACTGGTGGCACCACCTACTACAATCCATCGGTCAAGGGCCGTTTCAGGATCTCCAGGGACAACGGGCAGAGCTCGGTGACGCTGACCATGAACAACCTCAAGGACGAGGATTCTGCCACCTATTTCTGTGCCAAGAGTGCTGGTGCTGGTTGGTCTGAAAGTGCCCATCGTATTGACGATGGCCTTGCTGTCCCCATCCCAATCTCTGTGTCGCCCCTGTCCCCGTTCCCCAGACCCTTCTCGCAAACTCCCAGCCCACACCCAGCCCTTGACCATCGATCCCAACCTTGCTCTGCCTCGGCCCCAGTTCTCACCCCCTGACCCCAAACCACAACTCCTGACCCCAAATCTCCAATTTGTGCCCCAAAACCTTGTTATAAAAGTGGATATTTCAAGACAAGGCTTAAGGTTAGAGTAAACTTTGTGGCAATGTGCAGAGAGCGGATTTCAGGCCTAACCACTCCAAGATTGGGACATGGGGACAGGAATGGGGTCCAGGCTTGGGGTTTTGGGGAAGGGTCCAGAGAATGGAGATAGGTAGGGACCGGGGAACAGGAACATGGCCAAATGCCAGCAAAACATGAGAGTGACCAATACCTGCAGCAGCGTTCCAACCAGCACTACCAACAACACTTCTGCCACAGAAATAGGATCCGGAATTCTTGTCCTTGAGGTTGTTCATGGTCAGCATCACTGAGCTCTGCCCGTTGTCCCTGGAGATCGTGAACCGACCCTTGAACGATGGCGCGTACCCGGTCCAACCACCATTGTAGCTGATACTCGCGAGCCACTCCAGCCCCTGCCCGGGTCTCTGGCGCACCCAGAACATGTCATAGCTTCCAAAACTGAACCCGGACCCTCGGCAGAGGAGGCGCAGGGACCCCCCGGGGGGCTGGGGGTCCCCCTTGCACCCCAGCAGGGTCACGGCCACCCGGAGCCCTGCGGGACAAAGGGGAGATGGGGATGAGGCCAAAGCTCAACCCTTGACCCAAATCCTGAGCTTTGGCCCCAAATTGGGACCCTGGGACCTCCTCTGCCACAGCGCCCAGAGGCTGAGCTGCCCTCTGCCAAACACAGATGTTCACAGTGACCAAAACCAGGAACTTTCTGTTTCCTTTCCCGCCCCAGCCGGGCCCCGGCAGCTGCCGGGGAGGAAGTGGGGGGAGGCTGCGGAGCCCCAAAATTGCAGCGTCTTCTCCTCCCTCCCTCCCTCGCTCCCACCTGGGGCTTCACTTCTCCCTCAGCGGCCTCAGTGTCTGGGGCTGCTCCTTGGGGCTGGGCTGGAATCCTCTCTGGGAGCTCTGGACATGGTGACGATGCTGGTGGTGGCCACAAACCCCCATCCCTGTCTCTCCAAATGTCCCAAAATCCCCAAATCCTGCCCCAAATCCCAACCCTTGACCCCATTCTTGACCTTCTCCCCCAGTGTCCACCATCATTGCCCCAACATTCGACTTTATCCAAATTTTTCCCATTTCACCCAAATCTCCCCCAGCTCCCCGGGCCCTGATTGGACGAGGCCTGAACTGGAGGCCAGGGGTGAAGGTTTGGGGCCAATGGTTGAGTTTTGAGGCAGGAGGAGGGGAGGGTTTGGGGTCAGGGCTGACCGTTGGTGCAAATGGGGGAGATTTGGGACAAAGGGTCAAGGGCTGAGGTTTGGGGGAAGGGTCTGGTTTTGGGAGAGGAGGGAACTCAAAATTGAGGACTCCGGGAAACCACCGCGACCAACATCATCACAATCAATGTCTTTACCAGCAGCAGGACCACAACAACCATCCCAACTTCTGGCACAGAAATAGGATCCGGAATCCTCATCCATAAGGTTGTTCATGGTCAGTGTCACCGAGTTCTGCCCATTGTCCCTGGAGATTCTGAACTGACCCTGGACTGACGGTGCATAGTAGATGGCGCCACCAGTGTTGCTGATGTAGGCGACGAATTCCAGCCCCTTTCCGGGTCTCTGTCGGACCCATTGTAGGGCAAAACTACCAAAACTGAACCCGGACCCTCGGCACAGCAACGTCAGGGAACCCCCGGGGGGCTGGAGGTCCCCCCCGGACTCCAGCGGGGTCACGGCCGCTCCCCCATCCCGAAACCTTCACTGTGTTTTGCCCCAAACTCCCTTTGTCTGGCCCCCAATCTGAAACAGAGATTTCCTGTATTGTAAAGTGCCCTCAACACTGCAATTAGCCACAATCCACCCATTGATTATTTGGACACCTCCACCTGACTTTTGCATCACCTCATGCCCATCTCCCCTTTGTCCCGCAGGGCTCCGCCGGGCAGCCGTGACCATGCTGGAGTGTGGGGGGGACCTCCAGCCCCCCGGGGGGTCCCTGCGCCTCCCCTGCAGAGGGTCTGGCTTCAGTTTTGGCAGCAATGCCATGTGTTGGGTCCGCCAGAGACCCGGGCAGGGGCTGGAGTGGCTCGCAGGGATCTGGGGCAATGGTGGAGACACCGGCTACACGCCATCATTCAAGGGCCAGTTCAGGATCTCCAGGGACAACGGGCAGAGCTCGGTGACGCTGACCATGAACAACCTCGAGGACGACGATTCTGGATCCTATTTCTGCGCCAGGGGTGCTGATGTTTATGGTGCTGCTTGGAGTGCTGCAAATATTGTTTATGGTTTTCTCCCTTTCCCTGTGCCCCAACCCTTCCCTCCAGTCCTGACCCTTTGTCCCAACCCTGCCCTGCTCTGGCCCCGAATCTCATCTCCTAGCCTCAAATAAGGGCCGGTTTCACCCTGAGCTCTTTCTCGGCCCTCAAATCCCAACCATTGCCCCAGACTGGACCCATTCTGGCCCAGAGTTTCAGTGGTGGATCTGAATCACAGACACATACCAAATCTGGGCCATTTTCCCCAAATCTCGACCATTTGCACTCAGGTTTGGGGACCTTGGTTGAGCGTTGGAGCCAAGAGCTGAGATTTGGGGCAGAACCAACTCAGAGCTGGGACACAGAGACAGGAATGGGGTCAGGGGATGGGGATTGGTGAAGGGTCTGGGGAACGGGGAAAAGGCCAGAAGGATAAACGGGAGCAGCACCCCAATTACTAGCACCAGCAAATTTGGCACAGAAATAGGATCCGGAATCCTCATCCTTGAGGTTGTTCATGGTCAGTGTCACCGAGCTCTGCCTGTTGTCCCTGGAGATCATGAACCGACCCTTGACTGATGGGGCAAAGTTGCTGCCTCCATCCTTGTTGATCCCTGCGATGTGTTCCAAGCTCTGCCCGGATCTCTGGCTGATCCAGAGCAGGTCAGAGCTGCCGAAACTGAACCTGGACCCTCGGCAGAGGAGGGGCAGGGACCCCCCGGGTGGCTGGAGGTCCCCCCCGTACTCCAGCAGGGTCACGGCCGCCCGGAGCCCTGCGGGACAAAGGGGAGAAGGGGATGAGGCCGAAGCTCAGCCCTTGACACCAAAATCCCAACTATTGGCCCCAGGTTGTGACAATTAGTCCTTCTCCTCCTGCTCCTGGTCACCCTCCCAGGTGGGTCTCATCCCTTTTTCCAGCTGGCCACACCCACTGCAGGCCCACAGCCAATCAGGTTTCTAATCCCCATGTGGAGGATCTTATTAAGAGTTGGTTAGCTGAGAAAGGCCATACTGACTTAATGCCACTGGTTAAGCTGAAAGAGGGTGGTCAGCAGTCTCTGATTCAGTGACTGCTGACAGGCAAGAATGCCGGATGATCTTGCTGCAACATGAGGAAAGGGAGGTGAGATTAGTCCTGAATATCTGCAGAATGTAACAGAAGAATAAGCACAAGGATGTAGAAGTAGGTGTAGTTGCTGAGATGTAACTAACCAATCCTGAGCTCAACTTTTGCAATATATATGAAGCTTATTAAGAACTGTATTTAAACCGCCGTATTCGATCAATAAATTGGACTTGGATGAACCAACTGGTGTCTGGGTCTCCTTCCTCCGACAAATGGTGGAGAATGCAGGCAAGCACTCTGAACGTTCGCTCTCTTGGATTATAAATTCGCCACGGTCGAGGAAGTTGGGTGAGAGTCCTTGCAGCCGGGACGGTGCCGGATTTTAAAAGCACCCTTGAGGATCACAACGGTGACTCAAGTCTCTATGTGTTGCAGGAGCCTGGAGAGCTGCAACAGCGCGCGCTGATATATAGGTATGGATAGGCAAGCGACATATGATCCCTTCTCCTCATATTTAGAAAGACGAGGAGTAAAAGGGATAGATTTAAAAAAGGAATTACCAGGGTTATTACCCTATGGTCATTCTAAAGGAATTTTTGCTAATTCACATACAGTTCATGAGATAGCAGAGTGGAAAAAGTTTGGGGATATCCTGTGGGATACAGTGTTAGATGATGATAAGTCAGCAAAGAAATTTGGCAGCAGGTCTCTGAGAGAAAGGCAGCAGAAAGGGCAACAGAAGCTTATAAGAAGAATATAGGGTATGGTTGTGAGGATGATCCCTTAGCACCCTCTGTAACTCAGATACTTATGCCTAAAGATCCCCAGCAAAATGGTGTGGAGAATTTTCCCTTAGACACAGTGGAACCATCTGCACCCTTCCTTTCAGAGGGGGAGGGCGAGTTGGATGGTGGAGGTAAGAGGAAGCCAGCTTTGCCTCCGCCGCCAGCTTCAGGCGGGTCGGATGGTGGGGGTGGGAGCAAGCCAGCTTCGCCTCCGCCGCCACCTTTGCCTCCGCCGCTTCCCCCGAGCGGGCCGAGTCCAGCGGGGGGGTCGCTTCCCCCGCGCGAGTCGTTATCGGTTTCACTGTCAGCTCCAGCAGCGGGGGGGCCGCTTCCCCCGTGCGAGTCAGCTCCTGCTCCACCGCCTTCCCCGTGCGAGAACTCGGTCTCGGTACCGAAGTGCCAGCAGCATAGCACCCTTAAAGGGCCAGATCCTATCCCGGGGGCACACCGTGACCTGTGGGGGGAGATGGCTAAACAGAGAAGGGAAGCTTGGGCTGCTGTGGCAAAAGAAGTAATGCAAATGGGGGATGGCGAGGCGGTGGAAGTAGCTTCTAATCTTGCATGTCCGGTCACATACACACCACAGTATGATGCACAGGGGAACCTTACGCATAATATAGCGGAATATAATCCCTTAGATTGGAAGATGTTAGCTCAATTACGTTCTACGGTTAGTCAGTTTGGAGTAAAACGTGAACCTGTTAGGCAAATGCAAGAGTGTTAGCTACTTTAGGGGCAAATTGGACTATTGAGGAAGGTTTAGAGCGAATGGCATTAATGCCAACAGCTTCACAGGCATTTATAGCAGAAACTTTAAAGGAATTAGGATTAGGGTTACAAAAGCAAGCAGAGTCTACTCAAAATCAGGTGTTAGCTGTTCAGAATCAGGTGTTAGCTGCTCTTGCTCCTCTCCGAAGCGGCTCACTGGCGGACACGCAGAGCTCGAGACCATTCATCAAGTGTTACCGATGCGGCAATGAGGGACATACGCGCCCAGACACAAGTAGCCGCCGTGACATCGGAGACATCAGCTGCTGCCGTAACATCGCTGTCACCTCCTGTCTGCAACAGCAACAGCAGAGAGCCTCGGTTTGGATTTATCAGCAGCAGTAGACGTCACACTAATGACGAACAGGCCTGAGAGGATACCAACTGGAGTAAAGGGTCCTCTTATATTAAATGGATAAAAATGTGGAGCATTGTTATTAGGACGTTCTTCAATAACTATGCTGGGATTATTTCTATTGCCGGGTGTTATCGATGAGGATTATACAGGGGAAATACAAATTATGGTTTACACCCTTTATCCTCCTCTTAGAATAACAAAAGGACAAGGCATTGCACAATTAATACCACTATCACAAATGACATCTGGTATACCATCATTTACTGGACAAACGCGGGATGAAAAGGGTTTTGGCTCTACTGGTGTTACACTTTTGACTGTGGATTTACAAAATAGACCAAAACAAAAAGTGGAGATTACCCATGGGCATCAAAGCATAACCCTTTATGGATTATTGGATACAGGAGGTATTACAGCTTTAACAGATGCAGGAAAGAAATCAAGGCGTGCTGCTGTCACCTGGCAAGAAAAAGGACAATGGAAGCATCAACTCCTTACAGCAGACCCTGCAGATAGCTTACAAACCTTGGAATTGTTAGCAGTAGTATGGGCAGTGTCTAACTTACAGGAGCCTTTAAATGTGGTCACAGATTCTATGTATGTCGCAGGAATAGTCAGACGAATAGAGGAAGCAGCAATTAAGGAAGTGAATAATAAACGATTGTATGAGTTATTGGTACAATTAAGGAAAGCTTTACGAGAGAGAAGTGCAGCGTATTCTGTGATTCATATTGGGAGTCATAAATGGTCTGAAGGTTTAGGAGAAGGGAATGAACGTGCAGATAAATTGGTTACCTTACCCATTGATAACTCTTGTCCTATTGATAAGCATACATTGGTGTGGTAGACAGGGAAAGGCGCTGCGGAAGATCTCGCGATGTCACGGAAAGCCAGGACCCTCTGATCCCCTTAGATAAGACCATCTGCTTCCCGTAGATAAGAAACTAACATAGGAAGGTAGCCCCCCTTAACCAAATTCCAGTAACTTTCCATCCCCTACCCAGTAATAGTCCACCTCTTACTAACCATAGATGGTAAAGACAGACCCATGCTGACGTAGAGACCCCTTAGACTATAAAAACCCAAGAGATGAGATAATAAACGCCTTTTGACCGTCCATCACATTGATGTCTGCGTGTGTCATTGGCCCGAGTGGCCCTGGTGACTGGGCCGCCGTGCTCTTCGTCTGAACCAGGTCGCCTGCCTTGCTCCAGAAGGCAACAAACTGGTGCCGAACCCGGGACTGCTGCAGCCCCCGGGGTTCGGGAGTTCTCCTGGCCAGAGATCAGCGGCTGCTGGCAGCAGGTCTGACCACAGCGGGAGGGACGCCTCCGGACCAGCGTGGACCATGGAAACCATTGCGAAGGTCGTAACAGAGATGCATGCACAATGGGATATAGAATGTAAATTTAGGGATTTATCTCTCGCATTGCCAAGACTGATTAAGCTTGGGGCTATTGAAAGCCCCGTGGACGTCCTACATTCGGACGTGTGGGATAATTGTACAAAAGCCCTGGCGGAGGACACCATGTCCTCGGGCTCAGGGAATGCCCTAAAATCGTGGGGCAGGGTTGTCCAGGCTCTGCAAAAGGCTCGACAAGAGCAAGAAACCTGGATAGCCGCGCGAACTTGTTTATTAGCCGTGCCGCAGTTGGGGGTGGGCGCGGCGACACAAACCGCGGAGGGGCCTGACCCGGGCGGGCGCGCGGAGGCGCCAATGCCAGACCTCCCTCAGCGAGCGGATTCACCATCGGAGGGGGGGGAACACCCGTGGACGTTCTGGCGGGGGCTCGCGGAGGAGGCACGGAACGCGGCCGAATCGGCGGACCCCCGTAGGGACCGATAAAAACGCCCCCCCACCATATGCGTTTGAAAATGGCGCCGAACCGCGTGGTCCGGGCGCAAAGGAGGAGGCGGGGGGCGGAAGCGCGGTCAGCCCGCTTAACAACGCATGCGCGGGCGAGCGGGGGGACGGGGCGGCCCCCGCGGAGACGCGTAAGACCAATCAGAGCCCTCAGTTCAAATTAGGTCCTTATAGGGCAAGGACTTCCCCCAGCAGGAGGCGGGGGGACCCCAGGGAGAGGGAACGGCCCGACCCCCGCAGGGGGGGGCGGGGTCGGAGTCCGGGGGAAAGGCAGAGCAGCCCGGAAGCGTCTCCTTATTCAACTTCCGCTCGGACTCGGGCTCGAGCTCCGAGCCCGAGATAATATCGAAGGATTCCGATCTGGATTACGGCTTTAACAGAGAGAGAGAAGCGGCATGTAAGGTCACTAGCCACAGCGCTCCCGCTTGGGTGAAGGGGTTACCAGAGAAAAACCAAACCCCACTCACAAACTGGCGGAAAATAAAAATGGCTTGCGCGGAATGGGCTCCATCTGCCACTTTAGTGTTCCCGGTCCGTGTGGGGGGGGCAGGCGGAAACCAAAGGACTTATTCACCAGTCAATCCGAAAGATGTGCAGGCAATTGTTAAAGCGATTGCGGATAAGGGAATTAATTCTGCCATGGTTTGCACACTTATTGACGGCCTTTTTGGTGGGGACAATATGCGTCCCTTTGATATTAAGCAGACATGTAGAATGATATTCGATGGTGCAGGGATGATGGTTTTCAAACAAGAATGGGAGGATAATTGCATGAAACAGCTAGCCTTGGTAACAGGGGCAGACCATCCACTGCACGGCTCCAGCATACAGAGGCTTTTGGGCACAGACCCCACTATGATCTCCCCCCAGCAACAGGCTGAGGGCCTGCGAGCCCATGAGGTCATGACAATGACCCGAGCTGCCCGAGAAGCCATCCGTGATGCTTCTAAAGTGGTAGCCAAACCCTCTCCATGGTCTTCAATAAAACAGGGTGAGAGTGAGAGCTTCACTCAATTCGTGG